ATTCCACACGTAATTAACCATTCAAATTTTTTGTTCATACATTGAAGGAATGATTGTGCTTGGACTATTATGTATATATCCTTTTTTGATTAATGTTAAATTTCAATTTTTTTTTTATATTTTGACTAATGTAAATTTCATACCTATTCAATGATTAAATATATATATATATTTTTTTATTGTGATTGTCCAACACAATCCACACAGAAAATTGTCTGTAAAATTTCTTCTAGTGTGATATTCCAAAATTTCCATAGAGAAATTTAACTTGTATCGTTCCCAAAGGGGATGCCTATATATCATGTAATCTGTAATGCTTTGTGTTGGTACATCAAACAATCATACAACTCACAAAACAAAAGCGCAGCACGTATTTTCTCTGCTACTAAGGAAAATTTCACTAAGATGAATTTGAAGTTTCAAAACACATGCCAGCAATAATTTTCTCTGCTAGTGGAAAATTTCCTCTGGATGAAAATTGGATGGATTTGAATGGTGACAGAAAATGAAATTTTCTGATTGTGAAATTTCTCTGGGTTGAGTGATTTGGAGAGGGGGAATTTCTTTGGGTTTGGTGAGGAAAATTTCTCTGGCTTTGAGAAAAATTTCTGAGTTGAAGTGATTCTAGATAAATTCTTTCCTGATCCAGAGAAATTCTCAACTCAGAGAAATTTCAAAAGAGCTTAATTTTGTTTCTTGGTTGTACTCAGTGCAATAATTTTGTGTATGCTCTGTCAATGTGCACACTGTTTTACAATGCACATTTCTTAAACTTAGAGAAATTTCAACAAACACAATGCACACTGTTTTTCAATGCTATTGGCAAATTTCTCTGGATGAATTGCACCTCACAAAACACAATGCACATTTCAACAAACACAATGCCCATAGTAAATTTCTCTTCTACTGGCAAACTTCTATGGATAAATTTGACTGATATGAAGTTACCAGAAATTCACAGAGAAATTTAACTCGTATCGTGCCAAAGAAGGTGCCTATATGATCATGCAATCTGTAATGCACTGTGTTAGTAAAAAACAACTATCAAATTCAAAAAACACAATCCACACAGTATTTTTCTCTGCCATTGTCAAATTTGTGTGGATGAATTTGAAGCTTCAAAACACAATACACAGAGAATTTTCTCTGCCATAGGAAAATTTCTCTGGATGAATTTGACAGGTATTACAAACCCACAGCCTATAGTATATATCAACAAACACAATGCACACTTTAACTGATATTGGAAAATTTCTTTGAATGAATTTAATTGATATTATTATATACACTGTCTAAAAAATACATTTCACAAAACAAAATACACAAAATAATCATCAAATGTATTATTCAATCAATAAAATGTATTATCCTCAACTATTTAACAAAGGTTCCTTGCATGTCCTCTTATTATGGCGACCAATACTCTCACAACGACTGCACTTAATCACCCTTTTAAACTCTCAAATAGAAGCAATTCTGTTCTTCTTCGACCTCCCAGCTGGTCTCTTGCTCAATGGAGATAAAATCATAGCATCTTCAATGCTACACACATGTTTTTCAATAGTTGGAACTAGGCCAATAAAAAACGAGTATGCTTGACGATACATATTAGCATGAAAAAATGGTTCAACAAATGAATTCAAATTCTTTCCACTCCTAAAAATTGTAGCAACAGCATGTTGACATGGCTACCCATTTATTTCCCATTTTCGACATAAACAAGTTCTCAACCTAACATCAACCATAACCAAAGGAAAACAATGCACTTCAAAGACATTATCAGATAATAAACTCACATTCCATGTCCTCCCATTCAAAAAAGACTTCTCTAATACACTATCCATATGAGGACACAGAACTTTATTTCATTTACTAGAGAGCAGCCTCCTATCAGACCTGATATTCATGATTTGCAACCGTATCATGTCCACCAAATTTGTTATTGGCAAGTGCCGAGCTTCTCGTATCCATGAATTGAATGACTCAGTAACATTTGAATACATCTCACCATAACGTTTCCCTGCAAAATATGCATCACTCCAATTTTCATATGATAAACTTCTCAAGAAAGTACTCACAATGTCTCCTCATTCATTTTTTAATTCATTTAACTTGAAATGAAATGATGCCTTTGTTGGCGCATATGCACATTCTGAAAACTTGGACACAATCGTCTCCCTAACCAAATTTGTGTTTTCACATGACAACTTATCCCTCAAATTTCTCTTTAGATGTTCAAGACAAAATCCATAAAAGCAATTAGGGAAAAACCTAGCAATTTCTTCCACAATACCACAATGTCGATCTGGTATGTAACTTATCACCTTTCTAATCCCAATACTCCACATAAATGTTCAAGAACCAACACCAATTATCTTTATTCTCAGCATCAACAACAGCAAAAGCCATAGGAAAAAAGCCTACAAAACAAATAGGAACAAGTATATTAGATATACACATGCAGAGAAAATTAGAACAATAAACAACCAGAGAAATTTGACACTGCCAACATCCAGAGAAAATTCACTTAGTGCCCAACTCCAGAGAAAATTCACACATTGGCAACATCTAGAGAAAATTGACTTAGTGACCAACTACAGAGAAAATTCATACAATCAGAATATCCAGAGAAAATTCACTTAGTGACCAACTACAGATAAAATTCAAACATTGGCAACATCCACACAAAATTCACTTAGTGATCAACTACAGATACAATTCACACAATGACGACATTCAGAGAAAATTCAGACACTGACCAAAATCCAGTGAAAATTCTCACAGTGGTCACAATCATAGAAAATCCACACAGTGGCCAAAACAAGAAAAAATTCAAAGTATTAGAGAAAAATCACATTCACTCAATTCCTACATGTATAGAAAATTCACATACTTAGATAAAATTAGATATATTTACAATTACCTTCATTCCCATCTTTCCTCATTGCAGCAAGCATAACTCCTTTGTATCGTCCTTTAAAAAATGTTCCATCAAGAAAAAGCAATGACTGACAATATTTGAAACCAGCAATGTATGCATGAAAAGCCACAAACACTCTTTTGAAATGCTTGTTATCTTCAAAATCTAACTCAAAACGACTACCTAAATTATTCTTTAATGCCTCATCAAAATACCACCGTAATTGATCGAATGACAAACAAGAATCCCCATATGTACTACGTTTTTGCTTTTTCAACCCCTAACCAACCACAATTATAACTGATTGAGACCTCATACTTGTCTTTCATTTCTTTGACAACATCCACTGGACGAGTTAAAGGTTTTGCACTTACCTCTTCAAGTATCAGTCCAGAAACCAAGCTGGATGTCATCTTAGCATGTTTACTAGTACGAACCACCATACCACACGTATGTTCATTGTTCAAATTTCTTATGTAAAAGAACCCATTTGTTTTTTCAACTGAAGCATGTACACGCCACATACATCCCCTTGATTCCTTATATGCACATTCTGCCGTAACCCTCAACTTGTCATTTTTAACATACGTAAACTGAAAGCCAACCTCAATAGCATACTTGCATAAAACAGTACGGAACTCAACCACACCACCCCTAAACTTTTGTCCAACACTCGTAATATTATTTCGCCAACCAGCTTACAATAACACATTTTCTTGGTGAGAACAAAACTTAGAGAGTGAATTCCTTTCAATATCCACCAGCCTATCACATTCACCATCCACAACATCTACCTAATTAGACCCCACTTCATCCTCTTGATCAGAAGTACCCAAGATCAACCATAACCGAAGGAAAACAATGCACTTCAAAGACATTATCAGATGATAAACTCACATCCTCTTGATCAGAAGTACTACATCTAGTAACCGAAACATTAACTATATCAACACCACGTGCACAAACAACCCTCAACATATTCAGAAAATCAATATTTTTTCGAACCATGCAATTTGGATGGCCCACAATAGAATATGAAATACACATCGTCTCAGGTTTCAAATTTTTCCATGTTTAACACAAAATGCCTACCAATTCCTCAAAATTCAATTCGCATGAAACAATAATGACAATAGCATCATTCCCATATTTGCACAACAATAACACTGCACTGTCCATCGAAACTGAAAAAAAAAACAAGAAAAATAATTTGTTCAACATAAAAACACTTCACAAGAACAATATAAAAGTCCAGAGAAATTTCTAATAATTATAATTTTCTCTAAATTATAATAACAAGCTTATAATTTTCTCTGGATTCAAATAAAAGCCCAGTGACATTTACAAACTTATATTCACTTTCAAGATAACAAAAACAAAATCACAGAAAAATTAATAAATCCAGATAGAATCACAGAGAAATTTACTGCTAACTATTAAACACAATCATAGACAAAAAACACACAAAAAATCTGTTATAAAATTATAAGCTTCTCTGTGATTTTCACTGAAGTACAAGCTTACAATTTTCTTTGCGTCATTATGCAATATTACACTCATATCAAAATCTAGAGAAATTTACAAACTCATATACACCTTCAAGATTCCCTAAAAACAGTGCACTACCCATCTAAACTGAAAGAAAAAATACAAAAAATAACTTTTGCTCAAAGAAACAAAAACTTATATTCATTTTTTACAAACTTATAATTTTTTCTGAACTACAAACTGAAAGTGAATAACAAACTTATAATTTTCTCTCAATTACAAATAAAAGTCCAGAAAAATTTAAGAACTTACATTCACTTTCTCAGATTCTATCTGCACTAGAAACTAATAATATGTCCATATAAACTTCTAATTTTCTCTGTCATTTTTGTTGGATTATAATAACAAACTTACAATTTTCTTTGGACTATACCAACAAAAGTGCAGAGAAAGAAATTTCTCAGGTTTAAACTAATTTCTCTGGTTTGAAAAAATAGAGAACAAAACTTATCATTGATCAGCATGTTGATAAAAAACAGAGCATGAAAAATGAACTCTAAACATCAAAATCAACCACACTGTCAGCACTCTTTGAAATTGATAAAAAAACAGAGAATGAAAAATTAATTCCAAAAATAAAAATCAACTCTATCAAGCTGGCCTCTGTCTAAAATTGATCAATAACAGCAAATGAAAAATCAACTCCAAAAATCATAGACAACTTCACTGAGCTAGCCTCTCTTTTAAATTGATCAAAACTAAAAACAAAAACCTAATGCAAAAATACACTCGAAAAACTAATATGAAATCGGAGTCCTTACATAAAATTCAAAACAAAAATAAAAAATTCATGTGGAATCTCTATCGAAACCATACCTGATTCAACTTCACTGAAAAACCTACACGATCAACACACTATAACACCTATACGATCGTCGTAATCTCTATCGTGAAGTCCACTGCAACACTTGCGAAATCTCTGCAAAATCTCCGACAAAATCTCTACCGTGAAATCAGTTTCCAAAATTTCACCGTGAAGTCAGCAGTTTGCCAAAATCCAAACGATCTTATGTTATAACAAGGGTAAATTAGGTATTTTATAACATAAAATAAAGTTGAGGGACCTTAACCATCATAACATATTATTGTGTACCTCTCCTCCTATTAAAAGTTGGGGAGAGACCTTAGGCCAATTTTTCCTATTTCCTACGTAAAAGATTCATTCAAATTTGATATATATATGCATATAAAGTTAACTGGCTTCATTTAGATACCCATGGCAACTTATTATGACCACATAATTTAGAAACATGATAACCACCATAGACTTAGCTTTTACATAAATTCTTCAGATTTGGATTATAATTTGAGTCATGAGCATGTCAGATTCTGCTTGCTTGAAGAAGTTGAAAAAAGAAAAAAAAAAAAAACAAACATAATTTCTCACCAAAGATAACATAACCTATATACATGTTTCCTTTCATGAAATTTTGATCAATAACATTTCTTGCCAATTAAAGCGATGACTGATCAAGCAGCACTGAGGTAGTTTTCCCAAGTCCCATATTTTGAACTGAAGGTCCCTCCGCCATTCTGCTCAGCATATTCAGATATAACTGCACGGGCACAAACATCCCAATTCTTTGCTATCTCTCCAAGCGACATAGGTTGCAAAACATTTCGAAGAATTATACTCAGCCTTGACTTTGCTTTTACCGATAAATCTTCACTCCCCATACTGTCAATTACCAAATCTATATCAGAGTGAAGTACAACATGAAACAATACTAAAAGGAAGAAAAAGAGAGTTACAAGAAAATGATACATCTTTTGCTGAGCAGCAGTGTCAAAATAAGGTTGGGAGAAACCTGAGTAACAGATTTGATATTTTGGAATGGTTTTAGAAAATCCTACAGATATGCTAAGTTGTGACTTTGATTGTATAAAAGAGAATACATCTTTCAAAACCTAGAAAAATAAGAATGGTATAAGAACTTCCAAATATTGAGAATAAAGACTAGCTAGCTATACATGCAATGCTTCAAGTGTTTTCAACATGTTATGTAACACCCTAGGTGCTATTGCATGGCATAATCAAATCTTTTCTTTTAATAATAAAAAGCCTAGAGTTAAATTTGTTTTCTTTGTCATATGAAATGCTAAAAGGGGTCATATCAATTTACTTAAGATATATGATTTGCTATTCTATGTTTCTTATATGTTTTGAATCTCTCGATCTTGCACCATGCAAGATCGGGAGATTCTCTTTTGAGCAAATATGTTCATATATTTCTCAATTCTTTAATCAAGGTGTTTGATTACTTTGGTCTAATGGGCATGACATTTTCACATGTTAATTCTTTAATCAAGGTGTTAGATTACTTAGGTCTAATGGGCATGACATTTTCACATGTTATGTGGAAACCTAATTGAGATTAGTGATAATTAAGTATGCTTTGTGAGCCTAATCATAATTAAGACTACTCATAATTAATTAGGTTAAACAAGATTAGAGTCATTAGTATTTATCTTGATTAATTAAGCTAATTATATGATTAGTTGGTTAGAGGTAGGCAAACACTTCATCTAGGAATGCCAACTGGCATATATCTATATATATAAAAGAGAGACCAGTGTCTCCCAAAGGGTTAGAAACACGAGCACATAAAGAGAAGTGAGAAAATTTTGGTCTAGAGATAAACTAGACCAAGAGGAAAGAAAGAACAAAACGGAAAATCTGGTTTTTGATTCCTACTTTCTTTTGACTTAAATTTGAGGTAAGATTCATTTTCGTCATCTAATTATAACCTTTTAATTGGTTGATTTTGCTTTGGAAATGGATTTGAAATGAAAATTCGAGAAACTTAGGGCTGTGTTTGGTTCTGTTCTCCAAACATATTTCCACTCCTTATTTTAAGTGTCTTGTTTGTTTAGAGTTTTCAAAATTAATTCCACACCCACTTTTGAAAACTCTTTTCAAGGTGGAAAAATTTGGGCTAATCGGTCGTCCCTTGACGTCCGGCTAGTCGACTGGAATAGTGCTCTTTTTTTTTTCTTTTTTTTTTTTAAACAATTGGCAACTGTTAATCAAGGTGTTTGAATACTTTGGTCTAATGGGCATGACATTTTCACATGTTAAGTGGAAACCTAATTGAGATTAGTGATGATTAAGTATGCTTTGTGAGCCTAATCATGATTAAGAATAGTCATAATTAATTAGGTTAAACAAGATTAGAGACTTAACCTAACGTCATTAGTATTTACCTTGATTAATAAAGCTAATTATATGATTAGTTGGTTAGAAGAAAAAGAGAGTTACTGTGGTTTTGACATAGCTGGAGTTGACCCAGTTGTGTTTAATACCCTCTGCAGGACATTAATACAATGATTGGAATTAGAAATGCATGACATGTTATGATTTAAATGCAAGTTAAGCTTCTATAAGCTTTTTATAACCTATGACAATTTGTTAGGAGAAATCCTTGTTTGCCTTCAAATAGTTTCAATGTACCACTATTCATTGGGCTTTGGCTCACCCCTTTTCCCTATGTATGTAGGTATTGATGGTGAGGTTTGATGGCCAACAACTTCAAGCTGTGTATAAGGAGTAAGCATATATGTATTTTATTATTATTATTTATTATTAAGGGTAGTTTAGTCTTTGGTATTCTTAGCGTTTGTTTAGCTGAGATATATATATATATATCTCACTTTGTAACCTTATTTTCTATGCTTAATAATACTATCGTTGTTTTCTCTTTTCTTAATTATCATGGTATTAGAGCTCTAGTTGAGAGAGGTCTTGGGTTCAAGTCTCTCTGTTAACATTTGATATTATGTCTCCGTTTGGTTTCTTCCTCTTTGTTTGGTTGTTTACTTCTCCTTCTATTCAGTTCTTTGTTTGTCTCTCCACGATGTACCCAAATGTATTTGCCGTGCCCAGCGTGTATTCGGCTTACCTGGTACATGGTACCTGCACCCGATAAATAACCAATACTCGTATGACACTATTTTTGGAATACTCATGCTGTTAGGACACCTAAAAATGTGTTTTGCTTATTGTATGACTAATTAAAAAAAATTCATCAAAAACCATTCTTTTAATTATTAAAAAAAAAAATAGTATTGGGTGGGGGTTTAGAAGGGATTGATTGGGCACAGACCTAACATTTAGCATAATTTGCAGAAACAAAGTGGTTTTCCTCAGGATTGAACCCAAAACATCAATGTTTGTAGACCAGGTTTTAACCACTTACTAGTGGCCAATGCTCTTTTAATTATTGTGAAAAGGTAATTATAAGTACATCCTTCGATTTTAAAGTATTTAGGATGGCTTATTTACGCCTTAATTATTTTACTATTCATGTTGAGTATAGACTAAGCTAGTATACATATGGGTGTGTTTGATTGGGGAGATTGGGGGGGGGGATTATTACTGTTCAGATTGCTTATCTGAAGGAGTCCATCGTTTGTTTTTTTTTAGTTCGCCGGACTCCTTATCCCCCATATGGGGGATTATACCATCCTAAGGGGGTGTGAGACAATTTTGGAGGGACTATTTACTGTTGGGATTAGGTAGTAAAATGACCATTTTGACTCTCTACTATTTAATTATGTATTATATTTAGTAAAATTCAATAAAATTTAAATGTCTCAATTTAAAAATAAAATAATTTTATTTAACTTTTTATTGATGTTTTATTTTTTTTTTTAAATAATTTTTTATAGATATTTTATTGATGTTTTATTTTAAAATTTTGTTTATACTTTATTTAATTTCATTATTTTAATGTTATTAGATGTTTTATTTAATTTCATTGTTTAATTATTATAATTTTTAAAAACAAATTTATTTAAAACTTTAATTAAAAAAATAACATATAATTTTATTGATATTTTATTTATTTTATTTTAAAAAAATAAATTTATTTAATATTGTAAAAAATAAAATAAAATAAAATTTTATTTAATCTAGCTAAAAATAATTAAAATATTAAAGATATGTTGAATATTGCTATTACTTAGTAAACAATTGAAAAATGATAAACTAGTCTTTTGTTCATTTATTCTATCCAGTCCGTCCAACCAAACATTGGATTCACTAAAAATAGTCATTTCCAAACATCTAATCCTATGAAAAAACAAACATAGGATATATATCCAATCCAATCAAATAGTTTGGGGAATTCACAGTCCCAGAACTCAAGCGTGATGGATTCTAATCCCCCTTATCCAATTTGTCCGATCAAACACACCCATAAAGGATAAAGGCAGGACCCTAATTATTCAGGTTGAGTATAGACTAAGCTAGTATACATATAAATGATGAAGGTAGGACCCTAATTATTCGTTCTTTCCTTTTCATCTCAAATGTGTCTACTCTCTCTTTTCTTGTCCCCCCCCCCAGTTGCAATCCACATCCCCTTTATTTTTCATCATTTTCAACACTTTCACCAAAAAAATTTCACTCAAATCTAATAAAAAGTCGTGTGGTAATTGGAGAACTACATTAGGTGCTGCATAAAGTCTTATAAAGAAATGACAAGAATGACTTGAATATGAAGTGAAATCATAATAGCCCATTCTCTTACCTGACTTCTGCTGGCAACTTGTCTAGGAGGACGGGGGAACAAGCTGGATAATTTCTCGGAACAAGCAATCGTAAGGGCAGTATAGGTGACTGAATATCCACAAAGCACAAAGTAATTCAGATGATGAAACATACAATTGATGACAATTTATAGGTAGACAAATGCTTGAAAATGTACCACTGGAGCTGAAGCAGGTTCTGTCTTCATGTTAGGATTGATGGTCATAGCATTAAAAGAGCACTTGACAATGGTTCCTTTACCACCTTCAGTTACAGATGTTGCTGCTGTTGAATTAACTTCACTTATATCAACGACAGTGTCTATCAATTGCTGGTTTATCTCCCTTATTTCTTTCAATAGCGTCCAATTTACCTGCAATATGATGTATTTGTTCTTGTATTGAAAAAATGAAAAAAAATGAAATTCTGATGAAATTTTCATGCATTATTAAGATGGAAGTTGATCAACAGACATATCAACATGGGGTCTCTTTTTGCCCGAGAAATCTATGTAACCAAAACTCTGCTATCTACACTTATAATATACAATACACCTATATATAACCAAACAAAACTAACATTTTGTGTCCCAATCAAGTAGGGTTGGCTACATTAATATTTTTTTTCCCGTTCTACTCTATCAAAAGCTATATACTCAGTCAAATTAAATATATTTATATCTTTTAATTGTTTCTATAATTCATATATTTTTTCCCCATTATGGTCTTATAGTTGTTCTATAAAAATTTGCCTTTCAATTTTGTTGGTATTTGTTGATCACATAATATGCCAGATGCACTTCTCCATTTAAGTCAACTAACTTTGATTCTATGAATCACATCATCTCCAATTTTGTTGGTCTTATGGGTGTTCTAGATATATGTATATATATATATTTTAGAGAAAGAAAACAGAGAAGAAGGTTTTATAGATGTATATACCACAACAAGAGTTCAGTCCATTCGTTAGACACAAGTCGACCAACCAGGAGACACCAGTCGACCAACTAGGTTGATTGGAAGCAGTCTAGAGAGCCTTCAGGAGTGCCAACAAACCTATAAGGACAGGCTAGGGCAGTTGACAGGCCTAGAGGAGAGCAGAGAAGGCTTCGGCTACCCTGGTAGAGAGCCAACTGGCCTTCAACTGTGCTGGGTGGGGTTTGACTGACCCAGACAAGGGTTTGGGTGGCTTGGGCAGTCTAGGGTTTGGGTTTGGATTTGGGTGGCCTTCAGCGGAACAAGGTGGCTATGATTGGTGTTAGGTTCCTTCTATTACGGCTTTAATACCATGTAAGTTTAGAGAAAAAAAAGAGATAGGGAATGAGTGAGACCTCATCCCCTTTTATATTAAGAATAAAGCATAATTACAGGAGTGCCATAAGGCATGAATTACGGGCCAGCTCATTACAACCTATTACATCAATCAAGGAATAAAACAAAACAGAATAAATTGTGTAAATATAATTTCCTTATTCTAACAAATCCTACTTGGGGGCGTATGCACTAATAACATTTACTATATTCTCTCCAATAACTAGTTTAACTAACATAATCCTAACCTTTACTAATGACTGCCACTACATTTTCCACGAGACCCTTGACAACTATTAGTCCTACCCTATTTTTGTGTCTATCCTTGACACTATAATCCAGTTTGAACCCAATATCCTCAATTTCCCTAGCTTTCTTATCCGTCCACTTAGTTTCTTGTATGCATGCTATACTAACTCCTCCTAATCATAGCATCTATCAATTTCATAGTTAAAGTTCCTATATTCCATGTGGCTACCCTAAACCTATAGTCTTGGACTAGCTTCTTTACCTGCGCCTGCCAGAAAAATGTGAAAGCCTTTGCCCATTTTTCACCGCACCCAAGTGTCGATGCAGCACCCTTTGCTCACTTTTTGAAACACTCAGAGGCAGGAGCATTGCGTCACTTGAGGGGAACGACCTAACATTTAATTGATTCAAAGTAGAATTTATTGTCATAAGGGATTCAAGCGGCTTTTTTTATATGTTGGCTGTCGGCTACCTAACACACAACCCTCCTCCTTTACCCGGGCTTGAGATCAGAGGAGTTGTTAACTTCTTACCTATTAAACTGCATGATCATCATTCAAAACAATATTTTCATTGATTTAAGTCTAAATATTTCATATTCATAAGATGTATTTAACATCCAAGTGTGTAGATATATTTTTTCAAGTAATTTAGAAAAAGTGACCCAATCTTTACGATTCATGATTCGAATCCCAATTTGAAAACTATGTTCATGATGTATTGTGACAGTGGTTTGAGATGAAGCTATGGATGTTTCAATCTAAGAGGAATAAATTGATTGCAAATGTTCATAATCTAGATTAGGTTTCCTATGTGTCTAGGTGTATATGTACTCTACTTGTAGATTAAGTGCAACATGTTGAAAAAATTTAAACGAGAAACTATAAAATCAAATGGTTATATGTGATTGCCAAGCTCAATGAGTTGGGGCATGACTAAGCCAACTATTTGTGCTATCTAGTTTTAGTTTTAACAGACAAAATTGAGGCTTATTCTAACATAGATTTCAGCTTCTAAAAACAAATGGTTTCAAATGGAGGAACAATTTGAAAGAAAAAAATGTATAAACTTCAGTTAGAATGTGTCCCACATCGCCTGGAGTTGCCCTATCTATGCTAGTTATAAGGCTTCAATTACCCTCTCCTCAACACCTGGGTTTTAAGGAAAAGTGTGAGTTGGGCTTTTCAATTTGGTATCAAAGCTTGGTTGGGCCTATAATTGGTGTGCCATTTGTCCGGCTACTATATGTTGTGATCCAAAAGGGTGTGTTGAAATGTGTTCCACATCGCCTGGAGTTGCCCCATCTGTGCTAGTTATAAGGCTCTAATTTCCCCCTCCTTAATACCTGGGTTTTAAGGAGAAGTGTGGGCTGGACTTTTCAATTTGGTATCAGAACTTGGTTGGGCCTGTAATTGGTGTGCCGTTTGTCCGGCTACTATATGTTGTGGTTCAAGAGGGTGTGTTGGAATGTGTTTCACATCGCTTGGAGTTGCCTCATCTATGCTAGTTATAAAGCTCTAGTTTCCCTCTCCTTAATACCTGGGTTTTAAGAAGAAGTGCGGGCTGGACTTTTCAATTTGGTATCAAAGCGTGGTTGGGCCTGTAATTGGTGTGCCATGTCCCACACCACATTGCCTGAAGTTGCCCCATCTGTGCTGGTTATAAAGCTCCAGTTTTCCTCTTCTTAATACTTGGGTTTTAAGGAGAAGAGGGGATTGTCGGCACTCAAGGAGGAAGGAAGAAGATGAGACAGTGGTTGGGTAGAGAACAAGGGTTTCTGTGCTTTGGCTTTGATACCAAATTGAAAAGCCCAACCCACACTTCTCCTTAAAACCCAGGCATTAATGAGAGGGAAATTAGAGCCTTATAACTAGCACAGATGGGACAACTTCAGGCGATGTGGGGTACATTCCAACAACTTCATCATTGAATATCAGGCTATCAAAAAGTATATCCATAAAATCGGTATATTAAAGATCATGACAAAGCAATTGTTGAAATGAGATGACTAGAAGAAAGCAGTACATGAGAAGGTTGTAAATCTAATAGAGAAAATTAAAAGGCTACAACTGAGGCTATGGATCTCCACTCTGATAGTAGATGGATAACATTCATGATGAAAAACAAAACTGAGGTAGGAAAAATGACAACATTCAGGATGTACCAATGATAACAAATATGATAGCTTCAGTACATATGTCAGAATTGTTCGATTAGTACACCTGATGTACAATGATTGTGAAAAAAAAGAAAAAGAAGAGAACGAATCATCAATAGCTTCTCATTATGTCAAAAAAATTCTCATAGAATGTACTATACCTCAACCCTAGGCCTCTTGTTATGCGATGTTGCAGTTGACGACTCATCACATCTCTCAGGATCCGTGAACTGTATGAAACTATCAGTTATGCAGTCTGATGCAACAGTGTTTGATGGCATTGCTCTTGCATAGCGTCTCATTTTCATTGTTATAGAATTCCCATCTAGCTTTGCTCCTTGTGAACAAAAATTGGTTACCGGCACCAAATCCTCACCAAAAATTGTTATAGAATTACCTGGTATTGATCCTGCTGTCCTCTCAACCATTCTCACAATTGACTCCATGTCACTAACAGAAGAACTTAATGCTTCGTAAGACATAGATCTCACCTATAATTAACAATGAAATAAAAGTATCATTCATATGAAGATACTGCATATCATGCAAGAAAAAATCAAATGCATCAATGGAAAACTCACAACAGTTTAGACTAACCACTTTGATTAATTGCTGAATAGGCTCCCCAGTAACACTTGGCTCACAAAATTCTGTTGTTGAAACATGATTATGATTTTGATCCAGATCACTCTCTGCAAGCAAGAGTGAGGGTGAAAGCCCAGGAGTGGAAATCACAAAGGTTGTGTCCAGAGCTAGTGCATCAGATGTTTCTTTTGGTTCATTATTTGCAGAATTTGTGATTGGGGAAACAACAGAAGTAAGTCTATTGGAATCTCCTTTAATGGGTAATGGACCCAACGAAGTTGAAGGAGGAGCAACGGACATTGAATTTGAAGACTGCAAACGATTCCCAGAATTTCTAAAAGATGTTTGCAAAATTTTCTGGTCACTCAGTGGGGAACAATGTTGTGGAATTTGAGGGGATGCTGTCTGAAGGAGTTGAGGTAACGACATAGGGGAGACAGCTTCAGGCTTCACGAAACAAGGGTTATTCACTGAGAGCTTGCCTACAGAATGGTGTTGCAGACAATTCCCTGCTTTAACACCCATTCCTCGTCTCACTTTCATGCTGTTTACTTCATTCATCTGATAAAGCTGTGGACTCTGTTGTGCCAGTAACATTGCAGGCTGCTGGTGGTGCTGAAGCTCTATGTGCTCTTTCTTTTGCATTAATTGCTTTGTCATTTGTCGTTGTTGAAACTGTTGCTTTGCCTGCTGAGCCTTTGTCATTTGTGGCTCATTAAGTTGTTTGAGACACTTGTTCTGAAGCATACTAGAATTCATTTCAAGGTGATTAATTTTCTTCCCTGGCATATTACCTCCACTTTGTGACAATGAGCTGCAACTTTGTGAGCTTTCAGCAATTGGTGTGCCATGATTTTTTAACAATAAACTAACAAATTTTGCTTGTTCTGAATTAGAATTGGTACGAAGCTGTTGTAAATTGATCATGTTCTGCTGTGAAGTTGGTACCTCAGATGAAATTGTTGAAGCATTTGTCAAGTTTGTCACATTGTTCTTTTCCATAGCTGTTTCATTGTGATGTGAGTTCATTGATTGCAAATGGGGATTAGTTAGGTTTCCATTTGACTGCAGTTTAGCATTTTGAAATTGTGGCTGCAAAGGCTGCTGCAAGGATTGCACATCATGGGTGGGAAATTGTTCTTGCCGCAATGAGGAAATGGACCTTGGGGATCTATGTAGTTGGAGAAGATTATTTATCAATTTCTCATACCCACCCAACTTTCTTTTCACATCTGGTGAGATCTCAGCTTTGGGTATGTGTAGGAAAACAAAGGCTTTATTCCAGAAACTCTTAGTTAATTTAAGCTTCTCATAATCAGCCCTCTTTGGGTGTTGTGGAATAGTATCAATCTGAATAACATAGAGAGAAATGTTTTTCAAAGTTAAATATGATCAACAATCAGAGTTGTCAGAAATGAGAAAGAAGTATGACATATCTGTACTTGGTTGGGAAGACAGTGAACTACAGAGGCAATAATGTTAAAGTACCTGGTGTAATTTTATGGAAATCTTTTCGTACAGTTCTTTCAGTTCAGGTAAATATAAATCCTTCATAGTTTTAATCTGTAAAGAAAACGTGAACACAGTTAATATTATAAGCATCAACTCTTCACTTGGTGAACACTTTTGACTTTTAATCATGCATAGAAATGGAAACTCAATGCACAAAAATCCATAAAGTGACTTCAGGTTAATCAAAACTGATGAACAGCGCATTACTGGTTATTGTTATTGTTATAAGATTTAGATTAGGTTGCCAATTCTGTATGACAAAACAGAGATTGTATAATTGAGATGGGTTGTAATGGGTTTGGTAGACTAGGCTGAGTGTTTGGGTGTTGAAGCTAAAGAATTGGAATTGTTAGAATCGGTAATTATGGTATGAATAGGCTGTGAAGATTTGACAGCTAAGTAGATGGGAAAATGTGTAGACGGATCACTTGAATGGTATAAGGCAAGGTTAGTAGCCAAGGGGTATACTCAAAACTATGGTATAGATTATCTTGAAACATTTGCTTCTGTTGCAAAAATGAATACTGTAAGAATTCTATTATCTTTAGTAGCTTATCGTGGTTGGAGTTTGGAGCAATTTGACGTAAAGAATGCCTTTTCACATGGTGATCTTGATGAAGAAATCTATATGGAGGTTCCTCCAGGATACGAGTCAGAAAAACATAAGGTGTGTAAGTTAAAAAAGGCACTTTATGGCTTAAAACAGTCTCCCAGGACTTGGTTCGGCAGGTTTGCTAGAGTAATGAAAGCTTCGGGTTACAAACAAAGTCAGAATGATCACACATTGTTTGTCAAACATTTTGCTTCAGGGAGAGTTATAGCTCTATTTGTCTATGTGGATGATATAATAGAAACAAGAGATGACTTGCAAGGAATGGAGGCATTGAAAAAGTGTTTATTGCAAGAGTTTAAGGTTAAAGAACTCGGCAGGTTAAAATACTTCCCCCACATTGAAGTGGCTCACTCTCGACATGGGATCTTTATATATCAACAGAAGTATGTACTGGATTTATTAAATGAGACTGGGAAACTAGGGTGTAAACCAATGGAGACACCCATTGAACAGAATCACAAGCTCTGTGAAGCTCCTGAAAATGCGGTGGTGCATAGAGAATCCTATCAGAGATTAGTTGGCAAACTAATCTATCTTTCTCATACCAGACTAGACATAGCCTATGCTGTAGGAGTAGTGAGTCGATTTATGCACAACCCAAAAGAAGTACATCTTCAAGCAGCACATCGAATTCGACAGTACTTAAAAGGTACTCCAGCTGAGGGAGTATTATTTAGAAGAGGCATTGAATTAATATTGGAAGCATACACAGATGCTGATTCTGCCGGATCAGTTGATGATAGAAGATCGACTTCAGGCTATTGCACACTCCTTGGAGGCAACCTTGTAACGTGGAAAAGCAAGAAACGAAAATGCAGTTCCAAGGTTAACCACAGAAACTGAGTTCAAAGCTATGCAGTGGGAGTTTGTGAGCTTCTAAGTCTGAAAATAATTTCGGAAGACTTCAAGATTGCGTGGAAAGGACCAATGAAGGTATATTGTGACAAGAAGTTAGCAATTAATATTGCACATAATCCTATGCAACATGAACGCACCAAGCATGTGGAAGTTGTCAGGCATTTTATAAAGAAGTTGGAAAGCGGACTGATTTGTACCCCATTTGTGTCAACCGAGGGTCAACTTGCAGATGCGTTAACTAAAGGATTGAATGGTTCTGCATTTCAATCTATTGTTAGCAAGCGAGGAATGGAGAATATCCACTCACTAGCTTGAGGGGAAGTGTTAGAATCGGTAATTAGGGTACGAACAGGCTGTGAAGATTTGACAGCTAAGTAGACAGGAAAAAAGTTGGTGGTGTGGTAATTTACACAATTTACAATTTACATTAACATTCCTGATTTATAGGGATTAGGTCTTAGGAGAGTTTACTTATATACATTAGTTTTTTCCTATATATTTCTGTACATTCTTTGGTTGAATATTAAACAAGAGATTTCTCATATTCCGTCAGGAATCAAAGAAGTTGACTGCTTCATTACACTCTCAGGTTTAAGTACATTGTATGTAGAATCAAATCAGGACACTATGTTTTCCAAATTGCACTAAAATATAGTCCACTTGCCTTGTTTGAGTCCTATTATATTTAGGATTTGATTTAGGCTAAGTTTGGGAAGTCCCAAATAAGTCAAAAAGCCAAAAAGTTACTCAAAAAGTTAAAAAGTTAACACTATTCACCAAAAGTCAACAATTACGGCTGCACAACTCCCAATTCAAATTTTCCTCTACAAACCAATTTTTACAATTTTTTATTACACATTTTTCCATAAAAAGTCAAAAAGTTAACCCAAACATCCATATTTTCAATCTCAATTTTTTAGTCCAAAAAGACAAAAAGTACACTTATTTAGTCTTCCCAAACTTGGCCTTAGTTTTAAAAAACAAGCTTTACTGAAAGACCCGTTAGCTGATATGTTCACTAAAGGGCTTAGTAGTAAGGTTTTTCACTACATTGTGTGTAAGTTGGGCATGAGATATATATGTACCAACTTGAGACAAAACGGAATGTAATGTTATGTGTTACTTTTGTACTTTGAGCATTTTAACATAAATATGATTGTAGGAGGTAGAGAACTCTAAGCTACACTCCTCTCTTTTGTCTCACATCGAGCACTCTATCTCTCTCAATATATACTACTTTATTCTCGTTTCTTCTCTCCAAATCTTACTTAAATCCTGTAATTTATAATATTATACTTCTTTTTCATTCTTTTTTTTTTTTTTTGGTTCCTTTTTTTTTTCATTTTTTTATATGTGTGAACGCAGCCAATAGTGTGAAATAGAGGGATAGTTATGGAAATTAATAGTTTATAATGTTCATACTTAAAATGTTTGTCCCCTTGAAAGTTGGATTATTATGGAGGACAAAAAATATGAGATAGGGGGAGTAATCATTCAAATGATCATGAAAACTAACCACAACGTATTCAAGTTACAGCATCAAATGGCTTTGGCATGCTTGTTTTGCTTAGTCCCTCTAGTGTAAGAGAAGTTTTAGGCTAGGCATGTCACCTGGTCATCCCTCTTACAAGGGATGTGCTACCCTATGGGAGAAGCATTGAGTTTTATTGTAATATTCTCTTTCTTGGTAATAAAATACATACCTACCAATATATTTATATATATATGGATATCATTCACATAATGAAAATATACAAAAATGATGACACAATGTCTGTCGAAAGTGAATTCAATACAATGGTAGATAATATATTTTTTTATCAACAAAGTGAAAATTAAATTAAAAACATGAAATTAAAGGTACAAGAAATGAAATGCACTGAGAGAGATTTGGAAAGTACAAACTACGCCTACTATTGTTGCTCGCATCTATGCAACCAACCCCTTGGCTTCACGAATTTTATAATTTAAAAAAAATAAAATAAAAATGTTAAGATCTTAACTACACCACACCATAATACTTTGAATCCCCTACAAACTTCAGATCCCCACACCATTACTTGTCACCCACCTCCACACACACCTCCTATTCCTCAATACAATAACTCAACTAAAAAATCATCTCATCTTCCCAAACACAAAAACTAAAATAGCCACTAAAATAACTAAAAAGTCAAATAACCTACTAAAATATCCACTTCCCAAACGAGGCGAATGTCTGTCGAAAGTGAATTCAATACAATGGTAGATAATATATTTTTTTATCAACAAGGTGAAAATTAAATTAAAAACATGAAATTAAAGGTACAAGAAATGAAATGCACTGAGAGAGATTTGGAAAGTACAAACTACGGCTACTATTGTTGCTCGCATCTATGCAACCAACCCCTTGGCCTCACGAATTTTATAATTTTAAAAAAATAAAATAAAAATGTTAAGATCTTAACTACACTACACCATAATACTTTGAATCCCCTACAAACTTCAGATCCCCACACCATTACTTGTCACCCACCTCCACACACACCTCCTATTCTTGATTGTTGTGTATATTTTGATAGCTCCTCCTTCGCTAAGTCTAGAAGAGGAACGTCGATCACCTCACATGGCTGAACACCACTAGAAAAGGGCCCCAAGAAACGCTCCCATGGCCAATCACCTCATATGGCCATGGCCAAAACATCTAAGAAACACCCTAGCCGAAACCTCCCACGGCCGAAACACCCAAGAAGCACCCAGTGAAACCCCAAGAAACACCCATGGCCAAGCACCACCCATCCATGGTCGAACACGAACACCACCCAACCATGGCCAAAAATCTACCATGGCTGAACACCTCCCATGGCCAA